AATCTGTTATTTTTTCTTATAAAAGGTTAAATAAAACAAAAATTATTGATGGTAATTTTTGACTGTGTAACTTTACAAACGGCACCACATAAAAACAGAAACAAAAGAACAAGTAAAAGATTATTGGCAGGTGATAATGACCAATTTATGTCTCTACTTAGTTTACGGTGTGTTTTCTCTCTAAACCAGCTCATTTAAAAGGAACAAGTTTGAAGAACCGTGCGTTTATGGCAAGTTTATGGAGTTTGTTTATGTCAAAGTAAACCCTGGGTGCAGCTGTCACGACTTGTTGCTGTGTGTTTGTCTTCTGCACCATTTAGGCTGCAGCAACTGGAGCAAATGTGTGAGTAGAARTTTGTTACTGTGTGATTCTTTGGTTGGGATTTATGCACCTGCAGTAAAGAATATGAGGAGGTGTAAATGTTGTGGTTGTGTGGGTGAAAAATGCCTTCACCTCCTGAAGCACCTTTCACTGTGGCTTWAAATGATCCAACACATACATCTGATTGTTTTTAGTTCCTTTAAACAACTGTTCAGTTGGTTTGTTCTAATGAAATGTGAAGTCAATCACTGATATTGTGTTTGTGCATAAAACACTTTTTTAATTTATTACACACAGAATGATTTAGTTGCAGGTTGACTCTCCTCAGAGCTCTGCTCCGGTCCAGTAACTAACTACCACCAACAGACATTAGGCTGCAAAAACACGATGCATTTAATGGTCCAGATCAGTAAAAGTGATGATTATGTGAATATTTGTTGTACATGTCAGTGTGTTTGTTAGCAAAATGACTGACGTCCATCTGCAGTCAGTTCGATTCAAGACGGCCACGGCAGCTAGGTGATCTCATCAAACACAAAAACTGCAAAACATGTTTGTTGGCTAAATATCTCATCAATCACTGAATGGTTTTTAATTTTAAAAAAGTATGACAAGAAACTCTTTTTCAGTATAAATCCATGTGAATGCTGGTGACTGCTAAAACAGCTTGTTAAAATTAAGAATAAAATAACACTAGTAAAAATTGGAAAAACACAAATGCAACAAAAGGTTAGTCAAAAGTCAGTCATTTATTTGTTAAAAAACACTAAACAAAAATCTACAAAAAAACAAAAACAAATTTACCTAACATTAGCTTGTAGCTACAGCTTTGATTTTAGCTATGGCTTCGCTAATATTAGCTTTCAGCTACAACTTTGCTGATTTCAGCCTTTGGCTAAAGTCTCCTGATGCATCTCAGTAATCCAGGTAAAAAATCAAAAGGAAAAAAAATAGTATAGGTCCTCTGGACGGGTTCTTCTCTAATG